CGGCTCCTTGGCAGATAATTCATGTCGACTATGCTTGACCGTTTCTAGGTCGTATATTTCTGGTAGTAGTTGATTCCCATTCTAAGTGTAAAAAGGTTGTATGCTCTAAGTCGTCGACCTTAACAGACACGATAAATACTGTATGTTAAGTGATATTTTCTGTCGTAATGGGGTACCAGAACAGTTCGTAAGTGAAGGGTCGTTCACAGTTAAATTGGCTAACCTTCTGCTTGCTTACAGGAATTTCCCACACTGTAGGACTGGGCAACCCCCAGCGGTCCTGTTCATGGGTAGGAACATTCGTCCGCGTTTGGATCCGTTTCCAAGCTAACACGATCATACTGTCAGTTAGAAAGATTGCCTTCCCGACTTTGATTTTGTTTTCATCTATTATCGTCTTTTATAGCCGTGTGGCCGTCAACGCTGCTTGCAATTCAAGCCTAGGAACGGTTAGTTTTTAAAGTGGGGCTACTCGTGATTTTGCCGCCACAAATCTTACATCAAACCTCTCATCACTGGTTTTCCACCGAATATACGCACAAGCTCTAAAAGCTTCCTCGGAAGCATCCGCAAATACACACAGCACTGGATCTTGAGTTGTGTTTGGTGGAGTTAGACATCTGTGGAAACTTTTCGTATTTAGCTCCTTCATTTCTTCAAATAACTCTACCCACCAACTCTGAATTGAAGCAGGTAACTCTTCATCCCAGTCAACACCTTTCTGCCATAAGTGCTGAATGCCTATCTTTGCTCGAATCAATAAAGCGGTTCCAAACCCAATCGGGTCGAAGATTTTCGCAATTTGGTTCAAAATCTTCCGTTTCGTCAGCTTTAGCTTTGGTTCAACGTTTTTTAGCTCGTCACTTTGTACTTCAAGTGGTCTCTTTTAGGATCCCACACTGTCCCAAACACGTTCTTAGCATTCAAGTTCTGACGTGGCTTCAGTTCTATTTCATTTCTATTAGATTCCGTTGGTTTCAGGAATTTGTTAGACAACCAACCCTTTACTTTGAATCCACCCTTTTTAAAGATTACGTCAAGTTCTTCGGTCAAAGATATTGCCTCGTCAACTGTTGGTACAGATTCACATATGTCGTCCATATACGTATTTTTCATAAGTACTTGTGCAGCCTTTGGACATTGATGACTGCCTTCTTCGGCCGTTTTTTAAGCGCAGTCTGAGCCATTGCTGTCGCCGGCTTGTCACCAAACATTAAAACTTGTCTTCAAATAGACGTATGGTTTAGCTTCAACATTAAAATTCCTCTATAAAAACCGATGTACGTGTTGGTCTCTCACCGGTATCAGTACTCGATGGTACATCTTGGATTTGCCCCCTATTATAGCTGATTCATTCTCACGAAACCTCAGAATTACTCCAAACACGTTGTTCAACATATCCGGGTCTATCAACCAATATTCATTTAAACAGTGACCCTGGGATGTGGCGGACGAGTTAAATACGATTCTGAGGGGTGTGCTTTTGTTGTCTGGCCGCAATACTCCGTGATGAGAAATATAATGTACTGGACACTCGTATGACTTCAACTGTTCATCTGACAACTTCCTAGCAAATTGCAAATCTACTATCGCTTTGATTTAGTTATTGTAGGCTTCTGCGTGCTCTGGGTTTCTCATTAACCGCCGTTCAACGGAATGCAACTTCTTTTCTGCTAGTATCCGGTTATCCGGTAGTTGATTTGGATCCCTTATCCATGGGGTATGGGATCAACCTTTGGTCTCCTAATTTGGTACAGGAATTTGATATTATTTTGGCTTCCTCGGCTTTTACTGATCCAATCTTATCTGCCTTACACGAACATGATTTAACAACTACACCCATAGATTCGGTACTCCAAAAATCGGTTAGGTCTACCGGCGTTGAAAACTTCACATGCAATACACTGTTTGACGTCTGATCTCCCGCTACTGCTCCGAAAATCACCCAGCCTAAGGGCGATCGACGAGCGATCAAGTTTCCTGCATTTCTAGTTTCACCAACATGCATAGTATAGTCAATCCCGATCAATAAATCTATGCTACCATGCCCACAATGAACATCTTCCATCTTTATTTTGAACCATTTTTCTATATCAGCTACACCTATCTTAGCTACATCTTCACTTATGGAAGGAATTCCGATGGCCTTAATTATAAATTCATGCTTGCTGTTCATCGGGCGAATTCGAATCTCGTATATCTTTGTAAACAACTGTTCCTCTTCTCCACCTACTTTCTTGATAGTAGTCATCACTTATTTTCCTTTGAGCTGTAATTGCTCTGCTAGCGGCTTCCTTATAAGGCTGATTTGCGCCCCCGAGTCTAGCAGTACATTCGCTTGACAGCACATGTTTTTCTTTCCTGACATCGCTACTTTTAAGACTGGCAATATTGTCTCCGTGTTCACTGAAGAGGTCGTACCTACTATTTTACTTTCTTCTGATATGTGCAGCATCGGATTGTGAAAATATTTGCATTGAATTCTGTAGTGTATTGCTATATACGAGTACAGTATTAGTCATACTGCCCTCTATAATGAATAAATAGATACTCGACAAAATGGAAGCTTTGTGTACGAGTCTCGTGTGTTAGGTAGTCATCAAATAATAGGCCTAATATACGAGGATAACGGAAAATACCAATCAAACTGTGAGTAGACATTCATAGACTGAAGTCATTAACCCACTATCGCAAAATGAGCACGATTATCGGACGGCTAGAACCGTACGAGAGCGACGTTGAAGACTGGGCGTCGTATGTAGAAAGGTTGGAAGCCTACTTCACGGCGAACAACGTGAGCAACGAGAAATGTGTACCGACGATTCTCAGTTTAATTGGACCTAAAACATATGGCTTATTAAAAAATCTGGTAGCTCCAGATAAGCCAGTAGACAAGCAGTACCAGGATTTAGTGGACTGTTTGGAAAAACATCTTAGTCCCAAGCCGCTAGTAATAGCGGAGAGGTTCAGGTTTCATAAACGTGAACAACACGAGGGAGAAACCATTCAATCATATCTCGCCGAGTTGCGGCGTCTTTCAAAACACTGTGATTTTAGGGATCAGCTCAATGACGCATTAAGGGATCGTCTCGTTTGTGGTATTCGATCAGGCAGCATACAAAAACGATTGTTGGCAGAATCCAAGCTTACGTTAACGAAAGCGCTGTCATTGGCTGTTGCTATGGAAACAGCAACCAAAAATACTTCTTAATTACAACAGCAATTTAAGAGTGAAAGTGTGAATAAATTCCACAGCAAACTGCCTCCACGTCACCGATGCAACAAAAGTGGTCATAAGGCGATTGATTGTCGATTCAGGGAGGTAGTATGCCGCAAATGTCAAAAGAAAGACTATGATGATGAAACACATGTACTAGTCGGTATAATTGGTGTGTTTAACATGAATTCAGGGAAATCCATACGAGTCAAACCCACCATAAACAAGGTGCCACTACAAATGGAGATTGACACAGGTTCAGCATTGTCATTGATCTCAACAGCAGATTATAATAGACATTTCAAGGGAACAAAACTGTCACCGACACATATTCAGCTTCAAACATACACAGGTGAAAGATTTAAGCCAAGAGGTTATCTAAAAGCCAGTGTGGAATATTGTGGACAAAAGTACGAAGGGAAATTGTTTGTAGTGGATAGTGGTGGACCTCCATTGTTTGGGCGTGAGTGGTTGTCAAACTTGAAGTTAGACTGGACCAACATTTTTGCGGTTACTACAAAGGATAGTAAACCAGAAGAGGACGTAGCTAATTTGCTTAAGAAATATCAAGAATTGATAGATGATACGATTATCACTGGTCGGACTCATGAAGAACATTTGTATAACTTAGAACAAGTTTTAAAAGTTCTGAGAGATCGTGGATTATGTTTGAACAAGAAGAAGTGTAAATTCTTCAAAAACAAGGTTATCCTCTGTGGTCACGAGATTGATAGAAATGGCTTGCACAAGACCCAGGATAAGATTGAAGCTGTAAATAATGCGCCAGTGCCAACTAATGTGAGTCAACTCAGATCATTCCTAGGACTGATCAATTACTACCATAGATTTCTACCAGACTTGGCTACAGAACTTAATTCCTTAAATAAGCTGCTAGAAAAGAATACAAGATGGATGTGGACGAAGGAATGTGATGCAGCATTTAATAGGGCTAAACGACTTGTAACTGCGGATATTGTTCTTACACACTATGACCCAGAATTACCAGTTAAACTGGCTACCGATGCATCACCATATGGACTGGGTGCAGTTTTGTCTCATGATGTTGATGGTGTAGATCGACCGATTGCATATGCGTCAAGAACCTTAACAGCTGCAGAGAAAAACTACTCCCACATCGATAAGCACGCCTTGGGCATTGTATGGGGTGTTAAGAAATTCAGCAGCTACTTGACTGGTCGTAAATTCACTCTAGTTACAGATAATCAGCCTCTCACATCAATCTTCAATACATCCAAAGCTATTCCAGCGACTTCGGCAGCAAGGTTAACTCGCCAAGCAAACTTTCTCTCAGGTTTTGACTATGACATTGAATGCAGGAAGGGTAAAGAGCATGGAAATGTGGATGGACTTTCGAGATTGCCATTGATACATACAAAGGTTAATGACACTGATCCAGTTGATTTATTCCATGCCACACAATTTAATCCACTTCCCGTGACTAGTGCACAAGTAAAGAAAGAGACAATACGTGACACGACAATGTCAAAAGTGTACGGTTACACAATGAATGGGTGGCCTAAGAGTTGTGAGACTGATTTAGAACCTTTTCATAGGAGACAGAATGAACTCTCCATTTATGATGGATGCTTACTCTGGGGAATGCGAGTGATTGTTCCTCTGAAACTTAGAAGTAACGTTCTGGATGAATTACATGAAGGACATTTGGGCATCGTAAAGATGAAGTCCCTGGCAAGAAGCTATGTATGGTGGCCGGGACTGGACTGGACGGTGACATGGAGACAGTAGCAAAAACATGTAGAGGATGCCAAAAGACACTACACCAACCCCAGAAAGCACCTTTGCATCCATGGGAGTGGCCAAGCCGCCCATGGGAACGTATCCATATCGATTATGCTGGACCAATAGATAACATGATGTGGTGATAGATGCAAATTCGAAATGGCCTGAAGTATTGCCTACAGCTAAAGCAACCTCAAGCAAATCAATATCGCTATTGCACTATATATTCGCAAGATATGGAGTGCCAAAACAGCTTGTCTCGGACAATAGTCCACAGTTTGTTTCAGAAGAATTTGAAACATTCCTGTTAGTTAATGGTATACGGCATCTGAAATCAGCACCGTATCACCCAGCCACAAATGGGCTCGCAGAACGTTTTCTTCAGTCATTCAAGGCAGCATTGAAATCTGCAAAGGGAGGAAGAAGCGACGTAAAGCAGAAATTACCAAATTTCTTGTTAGCGTACAGAAATGCTGAGCACAGTACAACTGGAATATCACCAGCGATTATGTTTATTGGACGACAATTGCGAACACGACTAGACTGCATTAAACCTGATCTTCAAGAGAAGGTTATAAAGCACCAAGAAGTTCAGATGAAACAACCGTTTAAGGAACCTAGAAAATTTAGAGATGGAGATAAGGTATGTGTTCGTGATTACCGATCTAAGGAGCAGAAATGGATTGCGGGCATCATCCATAAGAAGACTGGGACATTGTCATACGAAATAAAAGTAGGACCAGACATGATTTGGAGGAGACATATTGACCAGGTGATAAGTAGTGGTTTGCAACCAGATCTTCAAACGCCTCCAGAGATTGTGCAACCAATTGATATTTTGAACCTACTTCCCAGCCAACACCACTGTGATGAGTTGTTATACGGAGCAGACCATTATACAACGGACTCTATTGAGTTTTATTTCAGTATGGTCTTACTCGCCATCTTTATTTATCTGCCTCTGCTTGACCCAGAGGGCTCACTCTCCAGATTGCATACTACAATCAACACATCTTCCTTCCTATAAGGATAAACACAATTCCAACGAAACATTTGTTTTTCTAATTAAACTTATAACCTAAATACTAAATTTTGAACAAACCCCATCAAAAACACCAAAGGGATTGTTCTGCAAGATAATAAAAAAAAAAGAACAATGATAACAACAACAAAATACATGGTCCTTATTTAAAACCAATGCCATGTCATTCATTCAGTATAAGAGTGATCTATGTAGTGTAATCATTGTTAAAGTATTTACGATTTGGCTTCCAATCGCGTTCACTACGTCGTGGGACGCTTATATCTTCTGCATGAGTATTATTTCTATCGCCATCATTATCACAATTATTATTTACATTGGCTTGTAAATGGACTTCTTCATCTTCATCTTCCGATTCTGGTCTTTCACAATGTACTGATGAATAGTTTGGTAAAATGTCGGTATTGTACCCAGGTTCTCTCCGTATCATTTGTCTGTTCCTTCGGAAAACTCCCTTTTCTGTCTGCACAAGATATGAGCGATTTGGTAGTATGAATTTTATCCATCCAGTTTGAGACCAGGTATTCTTTAAAGTGTCCCATAGTCTAACTCGTGTTCCAACTGCCAACTCTGGTAAAGCATGTGAACCTACTCGCTTCATATGATACTTCTGCTGCTTTTTCTTTTCCCTGCTCTTCCTTGCTACGAATGCTTTCGTGTCTAGTTGCTGGAAGTTTAACAAGTTATCTGCCATGGGCAAGTTCGTTTTCATTCTCCTGTTGTAGAGTAGCTCTGCTGGAGATTTTCCACATTCAAGAGGGGTGCTACGGTATATTTGCAGGGCCTTCATAATATCTTGATTGCTGTGAGCTGCTTTTTTGATTAAATTTTTTACTATCTTTACTGCTCCTTCAGCCAGTCCATTGGATTGGGGGTAGTGAGGACTAGAAGTCGTATGAACAAAGTCCCAATCAACTGCAAAGTGCCTAAATTCAGCACTGTTAAATTGAGGCCCGTTGTCGGTCATCAATTCAATAGGTGTTCCCTGTCTTGCAAACACAGACTTTATCTTACTTATCACTGCTGCACTAGCTGTGCTGTGCAGCATGCAAACCTCGATAAATTGCGAAAAGTAATCTACAATGACTAAATATTCCCTGCCATTAACTGTACAAAGG